ATCAATTACTTAAAATCCTCAATACCTCTATTCTATGATATTGTTACATCTAATTTATATAACTGTTTAATTACCATCCTTTTAACACAAAAATAAAAGTATGTAGTTTTATTAATGGTACAAAATTATTTCTACTTTCACAATGAAGGCCTATTAGATTATTTTACAATAACAGTTGTGCAAATAATTTAGATGTAATCTTACCAGAATAGCGATTTCTCGATTCATAATTTGAATCTCCTTGAGATGACCAGTTAGATCCAGTGTTGCGATTCATGCTGCTATAACCACCGGTTGATGGTGAATTACTGGACCAAGATCCACTGTTTCCTCGGATACTCCCTCGAGACCCACGAAATGAACTATTACCTCGGCTTCTGTAACTGTCGTTGTAGTTATTTCCACCACGACTACCTCTTGGACTGCCATAATTTGAATTGTAAGAAGACCCACGATTTCCTCCTCTTGTGTTGGCAAAACCACCACGACTAAACACAAACGAACAAATAAAAATTAGATTAAATAATTAAATAATCTAGTATAATTTCAGGTACTGAATTATCGGAAAATGACCACAGGGCACATAGACTACTGAGTAATGTGAAGATACTCAATATATTTCGATTTGGAGCGAGGTGAAATAACAAGTAACAACAACATTAATTTGTTGTAGGTACCTCCATCCACTCAAATGATCGTCGTTTGTTTACTGTCCATAGTTACCTAGATCTGTAGGCCATCGTGTCGACTGTTGGTCACCAATGCGCGTGCGGATCGCGAAGGTGTGAGGATCTCGATACAAAGCTCCAGCGAAGGTGAACGCAGTGACTGAACTCTAACCGAACTTCGAAGTAAACATTCGCAAATGGCCTCGTAGATCGTACAGCAACGGCATACAAATTATACGAACTTACTGTATCTCCATTCTCCGCGACTCCGCCGCCCCAGCGCCACACCACCCATCACCATGATAAGCTATTAGCGGTGATACGTGTTTGTCCGTGGAGGAAAAATCGATAGGTAATCCGTGGACGGGAAAGCGCGGCATTTCTGTGTGCCGGGTGCCTCAAATATTTGTAAATATCTGTGGTGTGCTCACGAGTCACGACTGTCTACCGTATATAATAATAATATTATTATGTTTGTTATTATTATAATTATTAATATTTATTTTATAATTGTTAATAAAAAAAAAAAACAATGTAAAAATATTATGACTTACCTATTTATAAATGAAAAACAGTCTTCAACTAGTTCAACTATACAGTGGTGCAACTGCGGGGGTGCTAGCCGCTAGGGGGTGCTTAAGCACCCCCAAGTTCCATGTCTTTGTAATTTAAAATATCAAAAGTCTTAACAATAATTTAGGTAATTTTATTTTTTAAGATTTTACTATCAGACATCAGTTATTTTTGTTCTTAACAGTTATCTTGCGTGCATGATACATATCATCATTTATATTACAATTTACAGTATATTATTACTAATTACTATTATACTAATTTGAGTACCTATTATAAATATCGAGAGAGACCGGTATAACTGAGAACAGTAGGATAATTTAAAAAATGGAAATGTTGGGGGGGGGGGGTGTAGGGAGGAGCTCCCTACGGATTTGTGAGTGATTCATTATGGTAACACCACCAAGATTTGAACCCTAGTTGCGCCACTGCAACTATACCTGCATATAATATACGTAGTATTGTAGTCATGTAGACAGTCCTAAAAATGTATAAAATGGGAAGTAAAATTGAAAATGATTTTAAAATAATTTGGAACCAATTCGGATTTTGGTTGGTAGGTAGACCTACCCTTCGTAAAAACTCAGGAACCCATTCGGACTTATCGGAACGAATTCGGATAGGTACCTAATTTTGAATTTTTGCTATAGGAAGTTATCAAAAATGTATTATAAATAATACTATAATAATTAATTATATACATAAAATAGTAATAGTATAATTAAAATTATCAATTAACTCTGATGACTTTTGAAGCAGTCTTTTATATGCAGTAAACATAAGCTTTCCTCATATGTAAGTATTATCAGAAAATAGATTTCATAATGCATTTAACTATAATTAAAATTCAATACATAAAAAATAATATAGGTGTATAGTAATATACTAATATCATTTTTTATTTACAGTATCACACTATCACATAAATATAAATGTATTTATTTAATTAAAAGAGCTTTTTCTAGTAGTTGAGAAGATTTACCCATTCTATCTAATGCTTCTTCTAAATTAGGTGAAATATCTTTTTCGCAAGATAAAAGCATTAGTGATTCCAATCTGTTTGGGCCAATGGTTATTCTTAATCTATTCTTTATTATCTTTACCTTAGCCAAGTGGTACCCACCCCCCTGAAAAATGTCTAGGGCTAAGCAATTGCATTATGTAAACGTCGTTTACCACGCCACTAGTCTAAGTCACGGACTCGGATAGACCTCTTAAGTGCCCCATCGCCCCCATTTACGATTCATTTTTAATTGGATCAATAATTATTCGTCAATAAATATTAAAATGGTTTTGATATGTTTAATACTATAATCGATGTACGGTCAATAATATTATATTGATATTTGATACAATAAAATTTCTGCATTCTGACATTCTGTATTGTGCTTTTAAGATAAAGTTCATCTAATATCTATTTGTCCGTGTCCAGAGTATTGACTCTTTTCCCGTTCATAATTTTCGATAAATTTTTTTTGTTTGAAACAATTCCACGTTTCACAAAATAACTAATAATAAGCAAATGCAGGGTTTGTGTGTAATTCAGGGGCAGACTGAGAATAAAAATTTACCCTAGGGAAACAGAAAATTCGGCCCAATTTTGGGCTAATAATAAAATATCTATAAGTTATCAGCCCGAATTTTCACCCACCCGCAAGCTTACCCATAGGCGCAACTAGAGTTAAAATTCTGGGGGCTAACCAAAAACAAAACTATTTATTTAAAATAACGTACAGGGGTCTTATATCTAATTCAATTAGGGATATTTTTTTTTTGGGGGGGGATAAATCTTAGTAAAAGCGGGGACTAAGCCTTCCTTCCTCCCCCTAGTTGCTCCAAGAGTCCGAGCCTGTGTGTAATACGGAAATTATTATGGACTATACCTTTTTCAGCTATTTGTGTAGACGTGTAGTATAAAATTACAAAGTACCCTACCTATAGGTACCTATGTAGTTAATAATTGCTACAACAAATTTGTGACATTATTTATTAATTTAATTGTATATGGATTTATCGAATTTTTTTACTGTGGCTACTTTTTCCTAGATTCGCCCCCGGTACTGCATTCGTAAATTACAGCTGCAATGCACTGCTCCAAGTCCTATTTGTTTTGTAATTTTTCATATTGCACACTTTTTAGTACACATATTTTTTGGTGTAGAACATAGATAGGCTTCAACATTTTTGTATAAATAAATTTCATAAAATGTAATTTGTAATAAAATGTGATTAATTTAAATAATATAAATTCTGTATAAAAAAAGCTAGTCGGTACATTATTCATTATGAATCCATAAAAAAAAAAATAATGAACAACAGTAAAAACAACTTACATATAGTAAATTAGTAACTTATTAGCTATATACTTAAACAAACAAATACATTATAAATAATATATTATATATCTATTAATTTAATAATATTAACAATAATATATAAACTTATACCTATCAAAGATTTTTTGGAATTAAAATGTATATATTAAATTAAAAATACTACCTATGTATAAGTAGTGAATTATTAAGAGAAAAATTGTAACCTTCCATGCCTATATAATATTGCCTAAGAGTCAGACATAAATTAAACCATCTTTCTTTATAACATTTATTCCTAATTCCTATATTATAAATACACAAAGTGCACCAAGCATGATTACCCTTTTTTTCTTCTTCAATAGATATACTGCAGAGGTACTGCAGTTCTTCAAAATCTGATTTTTCGAAATTTTATAAACCTTAAATTAAATACCATATTTTCTAACTGTTAAGATTTTTTGTACTATTTAAATTTTAAGGAGTGTCCTGTTACTGTAGTCCTGTGAACTAAAAAATTTTTATGAATATGATTGACGTATGCAAATAAAAATTCGAACGAGTCGTTTTAGAGCTATTTAACGGAAGATAATAGGTCCAAGATAATGAGGTTTTAAGATATAAGGGCTATGGTGATTTGAAAATTTGAAATTGTTTATTGTAGAAATTAATATTAATCTAACAACAATTATATTTGTAAAAATGGCCTAAGTATAAAAAATACTATTACATCATCTATTTTATAATTTTGTAAGATAATTTTTAAAGATCTTTATAATTCTTAATATAAATATTTTAAAAACCGAAAAATTATAGGCAATTGAACTTAACTATATAGGTACATCATAATTTCAAAAAAATTATACATTAGTTAATTTACACTTAAAATAGAGGTTCTCATTTGTAAAACAGAAATTTATATCTTCACAGAGCACAGTACAAAAAAATCTCAAGAATTTGAAAATTTGATCATGAGACAATTTAAAGTTTAAAATTTCAGAATTTGAAAAGATTAAATTATTAAAGGAAAAATTGGGTGTAAACATGCTTGGCGAATCACCCTGTATAATGTATTGTATCACCTGTACTCACGTATCGTAATATAATAGGTATAATACTTACTGTAATAGCTGGTAGGTACCTACTGCAGACTTTAATTACAGCTGCGCGGGGCCTGTTTTTTGTCGTTTTTTATAATACACATTATATAATAAGAAGTAGGTACCTAAACAAGAGTGAGAATTATTCACAAAATTGTATTTTTTTTTAAATTAAAATAATTAAAATCGTAAATTCTGTCAATAGGTATCCAATCCATATAATTTTCCTAGTTTAAAAATTACTCCAATTTAGATTCAGAATGAAGAGATGAATGAATTGATTTTTACGATCATCATGTGTTGTTTTTTTTGTCTGCCATTAGCTTTTAGAGCATTAAAAATACTTAACATTTTGTCATTATATACTTCAATATCTTTTCTGATATAGGAAAGTGAATCTATAGTTGATACTTTTAAGGGGGGGGGGGGTCCAGTACTTAATAATCAGTTTTCTTAATAATTAGGAAAAATCAAAATAGGTGGTACATTGCAAAAACAAATAACTTGAACACTTGAAAATTTAAATTGTCATAAAATGTTAATATTAATATTAACATTTTCTAAATATAATATATAATTTTCAAAATATTTTAACTATTTTTGCAATATTTATACGCTACTCACATGTAAAAATGATTATATTTTTTTTAGATATTTTTTAGATTTGTCGATAAAAAAACTTTAGCTCCGTCTAAAAGCTGAAACCAAAAACTCAATATATAAGCACAATTTTTTCTATAAAATAATTAATATAATTAAATAAATATTAATATAATTAATACACCAACCATATAACAATTTTAAGTTTTTGTTGTAAATTGTAATTTAAATGGCCACTTGAAACATTTTATACCATGAAATGATGAAATATATTATTTTGATTTATACCACGTTAAATTTATACATTTATACTGCTGTGAGACGTATCAAAAATAAATAATAAAATAGTTATTTATATGTAGTTATAATATTATAATAATCACTAATCTATAATAATGGTGCAATATTTTCGGGAAAACTAAATAGGTCTTCCATAATAGTATATAATACTTATTGTAAAATAAATTACTAATTGCAATATAAGTATAATTTAAATTATCCTAGTCCGACAGACGTCTCTCCACAGAATTAAAAATAAATTTAAAATTTTTTTGGGGATGTAGCCTCTATAAAGCCCCCTCTGATCTGCCCTTATGAATTATGATCGTATCCAAGTACCACGTAGGCCACAAATATATAAACATAGTATGTTTCATGTTTATAGCTACATTATAGCGTATATAGGTACTTGCCGCGGGATAAGAACGTACGCCCGTTGCGCAGGCGGCGACCGGTTTCCCATCCGCAACCTTGTCATAGTTATAAACATATATTAGTTATAGTCATAACTATGACCTGCGCGTAGCAAACCTATTTTGGTACCGGTACGCCATTCGGGTACGTTCTTATTCCGCGGCGAGTATAGGTACACTATATATTTTATATAGGTAAATGTCAAATGGTAATAACTAATAACTGATAGCCAATAAATATTTTCTGTGACGTCCACAATCCAATGGCCCACCTTTTTTCTTTTTTAATTTCATGGAGGAAATGACCAGTATTCAATCACGTTCCATGAAGGCCGTGTTGTATTTTTTTCATTTCAGTTAATGTGAGGTTATGATTGTCTTCTAAGCACTACAGTTCCAGGTTTTTGGTTTCTCATTCTTTTAGGTTCAACAATCAACGTGTAAGTGAGCAATATTTCGGAAAAATGGTATGTAATCGTTTATTTTATTAATTATAGTATAAGTCCCGACATTTTCGGTTCGATAACTACATTTTCCAAATGTTTTTTATGTAATATTCGACAGTAAATCTTGTTCGTGCGATGCGTATTGTGTGAACGGTATGTCCGTGTTGATTTAAATACCTCGTTTTACAACACGGTCTATGGGTAATTGCCTGATATCCGATGTTTAAACAAGAATATTATTCTAGTTTGATGTCTCGTTCGACACCAATTCGAGCTCAAATATTATCTTGGTAGAATAATTTTGTTGTTTCATGTTAACCTAAGTGAGTTGACCAAAACTAGACTAAAATCATTACTTTCTGATTTAACCAGTTCTCGAATTGGAAAAATTAAGTAGAGGAACTCAATCCTAAAATTTAGAAACTGCGTTCTGAGTCCACTACTATTTAACACGGACTCGCGGGGGTCTTTGCTCCTCGTATCTCTCCTTCCATTCATACAATTTGAATGTTATTTTTAATTTAGTTACCTATAACAATTTAGCTTTATTATATTCCAAATATAATATATGTAACTACGTAATATGTAAGCGAATGTGGATTTATATTCATGTAATCTTTCCCAATTACAACAATCGTACATTCAGTTTCTTAAAAATACATTTTTTATATTGACCCGTTTAGTATGAATACCGAAATGTTTCTGTAAGAATTAAAGAAAATAACAATCATCAGTAATAGTATCTTAATTCGTAGTTCAGAAGCAAATATCAATAATTGTCATCAATAGACTACTGATATTTGATAATACAATATTTGATTCTATATACCTGTGCACTACTGCATTAGGCAAAGAAAAAATGTGATATAATTTAATCAAACTAAAAAAAAAAGTAGCAAGGTATTAAGTAGTCCAAACCATAGATAATAAGCTGATATTGGAAATGGTAAAATTCACTGGATCATTTATCATTGATAACAATTTAAATCCACATTTTAATAAAAACTATTTCAGACACTAGTTTGTGGTGTCCCCCTGTCCAAGTAAACTAAATAAATAGTAGAGGAGCTCCGCGCACACCCCCCCCTGACAATTCACAGGATTTAACATTATTATTAGTTATAACAACTTAATTTAAAGCGCAATAAGTATATTGATTGAAATGTTTCATTATTAGTGTTAACAAATTAATTGAGCACTTCAACTGTGTATATTTTGTATTCGATTGTGTGTTAAGGTAATACTATTAGGTACTTATTGAATTATTTATCCATGTGTAATTTTTTTTATAGCCTTTCAAGAGGTTTGTGGAAACTGGCCGAGTGGTCTACGTTGTTGATGGTCCTTACAAAGGCAAAATTGTTTCAATAGTCGACTGCATCGATCAAAAAACTGTAAGTATTTTTTTTTACTTATTTTAAAATACTATGTTATTAAAATGTTTATATTTCATAGGTTTTGGTAGATGGACCAGAAACTGGAGTACCCAGGTCAAAGATGCGTATTAGCCAAATCCACTTGACCAAGTTTAAGATTAATTTCCCTTACAATGGATCAACCAGGACTGTTCGCCAAGCATGGAAAAAAGCCGATTTAAACAAATTGTGGGTTCAAAGCAGGTGGGCAGAGAAAGCCGCCAACAGGGAGAAGGTAAACATTTTTAAATAAATAACATATTATTATATACCTATAACAGTATATTAGATTATATTTTGATAATGTTGTTGATTTTAGCGTGCTTCTTTGGGTGATTTTGAAAGATTCAAGCTTAAGAGAGCAAGAAAAATCAGAAACAAGATCAGGACTAACGTCTACCAAGCTCTGTTTAACAAAACTTATTGTCCAAAAAAAAAGACAGCAGTCGCTAAAGTTGCTAAGGCGTAATAAATTTTAATTTGACTTTATGTAAATGTTGTTTTTATTTTATTTTGGTCATTTTAAGTAATTTAATACAATTATATTGTAATGATCAACCAAATTCTTGCAAAGGTAATACTATGGTTTAAATATACGTAAGTATATTTCAACCATGGGTAATACATTATTGTCCTATTTATCCTGATGAAGAATCTGTTATAAACTTCATTAACATTAAAATATTTTTGGTAGTTTTATTCTTGCCACAACGGTAGACAAATTTTAAATTGACAATTTCTTGTTTTTTTTTTTTTAATCATGCTATCTATGTTAAAAATGTTTTTGTGAGTGTGAGTGGTTTGCTGGGTGGCTTAGATTCACAATTGGGCACTGTAGGTCCAAACAGTCGAAATGGGACATTTCGCCGTGGTCGAAAAATTGTGTATAAACATAAAATTAACTTTAAATTTACCCTATATAATGTTATATTATTATTGATATTATTGGATTTTTCGTATTTATCTTATCTTAAAATGTCTACACATCGCCCATTTCAAGAATCTCAACCTAACCATCTCAAGTAAAATCTACTCGTGGTCGTGAAATATTTGTGTATGATGGTTTTATGTATGTTTATGATAATGTTAATTTTAATAATACAATATGGTTTTGGCGTTGACGTAATACAAATGTTTGCAAAGCGCGAATTCATACAGGAGTGAATGACTACACAGTCATAAAAACTATCAATGAACATTGCCTAAGGCCGAGTACCTTAGTGAGGAGTTTCATACTTTATTAGAATGGTTTGAAGACAACTATATTGGAAGGGTAAATAGAAATGGTAGAGGTAGACGGCACACACGTTTTCCACCTGATATTTAGAATCTTTATAATAGAGTTTTAAATTCCCAAGATAGGACTAATAACCACGCAGAAGCTGCGAATAGATGACTTAATGTCGAAATGGGAGTATGCCATCTGTCAATCTGGGCTTTTATTAATTGTTTGAAAAAAGTTCAATCTGGCCATGATTATTTTTATTTTCAGTTAACTGCAGGAACAAGTCCACCTAAAAAATTAAAAAAATTTGCTGATCTAGATAAACTTATTTTGAAAATAGTACAACCATATGATAGTAGAGACTACATTTCATATTTAAAAGGCATAGCATATAATATCTCACTACAACGATTACTGCTACGGCCACGTCGAAATAGCCACGGCGAATTGTCCTAGATCCCCAAACAGTGGCTTCATTTGGGGGGGTGGCAAGGTTGGCATTTATCCCTGTCTGATTTTAAAAGAGGCCATTATTATATTTTATCAGCACAAAAACATGCCTATTTTATAATATTTTCAGAAAATATACTAGGAAGTATTTGTCACAATGATACATTTTTACTAATAAAATTGATAGTTGGAATATATTTAGACGCATTCGGGGACATACACATTGTATATATGAGTATGATGTTTCTTTGTGTAAGTGTGTTTTATGAAGGAAATTGAACAAATTAATATTGTATGCACAACAATAATAATAATTAGTAACATAATCTCGTATAGTTTAATTTCTAAAATCTAAAATTATTAGAAATTCTAAAAACAACAACCAATTGGCACTCGTATTAATTATCATTGATCACGGACTTCCGTTAACTTGTGACAGTCGTGTATATGATTTAACTATTCTGTATATTGTGTTAATATTTTAGGTAAGTCGTAACTTGTAATGTGTACCTTATTCTACATAAATTAAAATTTTTTTTTCTTGACGCTTGTTAATATTAATCTTTTAATTTGCGCAAAATATGACTTAAAAAATAAATAAATTGAACACAAATCGAAAATTGAATATGCCTATAAAAACTCGACATGAGTCCAAATATTTTGAAAATTTTATGCCTTTCATGATATATAGAAATTATTAATATATACATTCAGTGAAAAATTCATGTATCCACAGTATTAGATTCTAAGCTGAGCGATGTATCAATTTTATTTAATTCTTTTAATTTTTGTGTCAAACCACTGTTTGGTCATTGGTGGCAGTAAAACTGCTTCGATTTTCTTCAACAATATCTTGTTCGATTTGAAAGTGAATCTAGTTGGTGCATTCGGCCATTCGGCCATTCGGGAGGTCAAAATTTAGACATCCTATTTGTTTTCAAAAGTGCCTGGAAAAACAACATAAAAATTAAGGAAAAATGGGAATTTTTACGCAAAATCGGTTTTCGATCAAATCGATTTTGGTGTAACTCTAAAACAAATGAACGTATATATATGTTACCGCCAATGTCGGAAATAAGCCAGTAATGACTAGTCAATGCAATTGACATGGAATTTTCACTGGTTGTTTATAATAATTGCATTTTCCATACACGATAAAATATTTTGATTTGTTTTAAACTGCAGTTTAGGAAAATTTTCCGTTTCCAATTTGATCAGTCTTTTTTTCTATGAATGTCAATTAAACATTTGTTGAGTAAAAATGCTTGAACATTTAATACAAGTCTCCTACTATATTGTTACAATGAAATTTGAAAAACATTAAAAATCCTTAGTCACAGTTTTGTTTTAAAAGTATTATTTTAAAGTTCAAATCTTGACAGAATACTGAAAAATCACAAAAATCAGCAAATTATTTTGAATAGAGAATTCATAAACAAATATTCTTTTTAAATCTAAGATTTGAATACTAATACAAGATTATTCATAAGTTTGTCTACCTTTATTGAAAAAATGTCTTCAAGCAAATCAAATTAAATTTTTATGAGCTTTTGAAGTTCATATTTTTACAATATTGGATAGGTATTCACTCGATTTTTCATGTAGTGGTTTTGTTATTTTATTGTTATTCAAAAATGAATAAATGTAGATACATGACAATTGTACTATATGTTTATATTTTCATTTTCTATACACCATAAAATGTTGAAAATATTTTGACTCTTTTTAAGCTGTTTACGGACATTTTCAGTTTGCGATTTTATGCGGCGTTCCCACGAGGCGTGAATTTAGGGAGTGATCCACGCCACGACACCTTCGTTCGTATCTCTATATCAAACATGTTTGATTCTACCCAGAGACGGATTTACACAATTGCCGCCCCTAGGCAATTTTTTTTTTTGCCGCCCCGTTAAACTTATCAACGAGAAAACGAATTTTTAAATACTCATTTAACATAAGTACTAAAAAAATAAATCATAAAGACTGATGAACTCAACTAAACAATAATTAATGGCAGTTATGTTAATAAACTGTTCTAATAAAATGTGTTTATAAAATATAGTGTTTATTTACCAGTAATTTAAGTAGTATACTAATAACCAAATATGATTTATGAAGTCTATCCGCCTTGAATGTTGTGTTGAAAATAATCGAATGTCTAATCAGAATAAACCTATTTTTTACTCGGCCGCCCTCTATTTCATAGTTCCGAAGAAAAATAAACAATTATTACATAATTTTATCTTTTGGATAGAAAAAGTTTTATTTTTGTACACATAATGCATAGTACGTACGAGTATATTATATAAAAATATTCACAGTAGGTAACTGGTTTCAGGGGCGTAGCGTGCATGTAAGCACTGTAAGCACTGCTTACACTTTAAATGAAAGAAAAAATAAATTTGATCAATCACGACTAATAGGTACATAATAAATGATTTTTAAAATTTTAATTTTATTTATAAAATATTTAAGTTATAGCTGGTAGTGGTTTTTGTTATTGTTTATTTGTGTCGTACGCTGTCTACTGATTACCAACTATTTTAAGAAAATCATCGATTGTAGGTCTATTTTTAATCCATTCTGTATTATGTTAACTGCATAATCATAATACGATATACAGTGTAACACATTCTGAAATTGCTTACGGGCAGCTGTTGTTTTCGAATAGTCTATAATTCCATAGTGGGGGTCACGTATTTAACTAGCGTTTGTAAGCACATTTGATTTTGCTTACGCGAGAAAGAAGGAGCGACCCGTACGGCCGTACGTAGCCCGACGCATTGTACTATTGTAGACTGTAGTCGTTTTTACGTACACTGTCACTGTCATTCGCCTAATAGACTTTTGAAGTATTTATACTTCAATTTCTTTATTTTCTCTATTACATTTTTTTATACATAATTTATAATTAGGCCGGTATTTAGGTATAGTACCTATATTCTAATCACTTTTGAAAAAAAAATTTCACTGCTTACATCTTTTTAATACCCACGCCACGCCACTGACTGGTTTATAATTAGCTGACTATCGTTCCAATACGAATCGATCGTCACCCTTAATCCTTATTCGTATTAAATATATCATATCTGTATGTATTGTGCGTGTAGTGTGTGTACGCCGTGCGATCAAACGAACTTATTAATAATTATTACGACTTAGCAAAAAAACAAATTAACGAAATATGTTATCCATGTTTAGTATTTAGATAATAGATCTACGTTCCGGCAGTCGTTAGATAATTTACTTGGACGTTTATTGTTATGTATTATAAAATAAAGAAGAAATTATATTAACAAGAATATTATTTATATACTTAAATATTAAAAATTTTTTTCCATCCTTCAGAGTAATCACCGTACATTAGAAGATCAAAAAGAAACTTAGAGTATTCTCAATAAAATATTGACCTAAAATTGCCGCCCCTAAAAATGTGCCGCCCTAGGCAACTGCCTACTTTGCCTGACGCTAAATCCGCCACTGATTCTACCACAACCCAGTCGTGGGGCCGAAAGCGTGGTTGACTGTCGTGATTAACGCCTCGTGGGAACGCCGCATTAGATTCTGAGTGTAACGATGAATGTACCTATTGATTTTACACTGATGTGTGTTTTTTTATTTTTTTTATCAGTTGAAATTATTAAAAATACATGGGCCCAATTTTTTTTATAAGCATTTAAAGTTCGAATTTTGACAAAATTTATCAAATTTAAAATCTAATAATTATTTTGTTGTTAAAAATGTATAAAATGTTCAACTTTTATAGCTAAGGATTGAAAATTTAAAACAAAGTTCCACGTAAATATGTAAATATATAAATGTCATTATTCACAATAATATCATCAAATATACTTAGTAATATCATAGGCTGACTGATATAGTTTTCGCTCAGAATCGTTTTTCTTATACAATGCAGATAATATTATATCATTGCATTCAAATTTTTATTATTATTATTTTGATTTTTGATACCTTAATATTATATAATATGATGAGATATAAATATATAATAATATAATGTGATACATTTAAAATTATATTCTATGTACCTACACCATAAATTAGAATAATACCTACGACAATAATTGAATTAATTTCTATAACCTTGACTTTTAGGATTTAATTTTTTTAATTTATGGTATACGTTTTTATTAAAAAATAACAATTCAAAAATTATTGTTTTATAATTAATGCAGGTATAATCCATTCTTTAAAATGAATATAATTAAGTTTATGTAAGTTTTATTTCAGTTAATATAATAGGAATCCAGAAATCATTAGTTTTAATCTGGGTACATTCTACACAGCAGATCAAAATGTTTTTATTGATTGGCCTGTGGTGGGAAATGTGGAAAACATTGGCCTCTATTTGTTTGCACACCCTTAAAAAAAACTGAAATGTCGCCCCTGCAATTACATAAATATATATAATATGTAAAATTGTATTTATCCCAACATATTACACATATTTACATCACCACTGTTACAAAGTAATTTTATATTAATGAAAGGTACACAATTGCAAGTCAGGTTAAATACATTTTTTATTAAACCTTGGAAAAAAAATTATATGCACGAAAAAACATACATGAAGTAATTAAGTGTAATGTTTATGATACTTCATTCTCATTTAACAGTAAGTTAGGTATACCAGCTGATATCGGGAACACTCTGTCTGTTTCTGGACATATAAGTTCACCATTTATAATTTCTACCTAAATAAAATAAATAAAATTGTTAGAATATCCATCATTATATAGCAAAATATAATTTAAATTATAATTTCATATTAAATCAACAGGTTAAATAAAAATATATGATTGGATCTTAATATCAAAAATTATTATAAGATATGATACCTTTAACATTTAATCAGGAATAAAATAAATCAATAATTTTTAAAAGTGAATTCACACTTATAATAAATATAAACAATGGGAATTTTTAGTTTCCAAATTTAAATGACAATTTATAAAACAATAAGTGTTAACAAACATTTTAGAGGAATGTGTTTAAAAGAATACTACATTAATTAGATAAATATTAGGTACAAATGTCAAGATACTAATAACTATTAGGCCAATACATGAAACAAGGTAGTAATAGTGTGTCTAACATAAAAGAAAAATAATGATTGTTTTTAATACATCAGCTCAGACTTACTTCCATGAGTAGATGATGTACTTTTTTGAGATAATCATCATCGTCTTCATAGTCTTCAATTAACTCATCAGACAGGTCACTGGTTTGGCCGATCTAGAATGAAAAAAACACCTTATGAAACCATTATATCATGGTAGATTGATGTAAATTTCTTGCGTAACGCCGTAACAACGCTGAAACAGTCATATAATATCCGTACTTCCACAGCTGCGTTAACAAAAACTTTCCAATCAAGTTTTGGTATGATTTTCTTCACAAACTCTTTGTTGAATTCACATTCGGATATCTTGACGTCTTTTGCCTGTCGAAAACAACATGTAGAATGTACAATATTATAGTAATAAGAAGACCACTAGACAACAGTAGTAAATTAATGATGACAAAAGGGTATTAAAACAACAATGAAATCACTCACGACAATGCGAAGCGGATATCCTACTTTGACTCCTTTCAGACTCTTGGACGACAGCAAATTGTGGGTCAACAGTTTCATGGTTGGTGATCAAGCAGTGGACTTTAGCGTAGGTATAGCAAAAATGAATTATTGATCGGCAGCCGACAATTGGATAGACCACGTGAAACCGCAGAGCATGGCTACTGGCTAGACTATGTGAATTGTGAATGTGACTAAAAAATGAAAATAAACAACAAAACACAATCAAGTTATCAACTTATTATCAAGTCCCAAAAAGCAAAAACGGCGGCCACGGGCAATAGGTATGAAGCCGGTCGGTGTGCTCGGTCGCGGTAACATAAATAGGGATAGCAAATTGGCAATGATATATCGATAGTAATAAACCGAGATATCAATACAAAAATATCGATATTATACTTCGATAATTATCGTTACATCGATATGTTCACAAGATAATATATTTAATAATAATAATAATAATAATAATTAATAATATTTAAAAACATTTGATATTTTGATGCTGCTGTTAAACATTTAAATAAAATAACTATAATAACAATTTAATATATAAAAATACTGATGGTATATCTGATAGCAATTACCATAATATTGATAACGATAAGTACCACCACAAATTAAATTTCATCTGCACTCTACCGTCTGGTACCAGCTACAACTATAAACTAACTTGACTGTTAAACTTTAAATATTTCGTAAATTTGTCATCACTCATTGGTTTAATCTGTTAGCTGTTTCTGAACACATTTTATCTTATTCACCATTTCATCAAGGCTGTCTTAACGGTTTTTCTGATTTTCTCGCTGAACAATTATTATAACGTACAATAAAATTATGTCGGGCTACGATTCCCGGAGTGACGGACCCGGATTTGTCGGAATTAGATTCTGTCAAGAATGGTAATACATACTATCATACGAATTCATTTTTTTAAAGTTGCTTAATTTTGTTTGCATTTTGATTGGATCACAGTGTTGACAATACTACTTTTTTAAAATCGAAACAACAAGTTGCCTTCAATAATTTTAATGGTTGAGGAATAATAATAGCAAAAATAAATAAAAATACTGACTGTTTAATTTGCTAAATTAATTTGTCTTTGTGTTGTTTGTTTTCCAGTAACAACATGTTGTATCCAAAAGAAGACAAAGAACATAAAGTACTGTTATACGCTGTGAGTAAAATATAATATTACTTTTGGACAGTTTTGGTTAATCATTTTTATTTTATTTATTTACCACAATATGCCAATTGTTTAGTCGTGTAAAAAGTGTATTAGATTGCTACATTGTTTGTACATTAAATTATAAATAAGATGTTCAATGTTTTAGTGTCGAAATTGCGATCACAGACAAATGGCTGACAGCAATTGCATTTATGTGAACAAAATTATGCACGAAATCAAGTAATTTAAAACGTTTATACACAGATTGACTTTGTTACTCATTAGTCATTAATATTATTTTTTTATTGCATTTAGTGAACTTACTCATATTGTTTCCGATGTAACGTCTGATCCAACTTTACCCAGGTCTGAAGATCATCCCTGTCCAAAATGTAAACACCGAGAATCAGTATTTTTCCAAGCTCAAACTAGACGTGCAGAGGTATAACATATACTAGGTATTTAGTTTTAATTAATTCTTAATTTGGTTATTATTTTTTTTTTTCAGGAGGAAATGAGATTATATTATGTGTGTACCAATCCACATTGCATACATCGTTGGACTGAGTCATCAATTTAATTATTATATAATAGTTTTATTTATACTTATATGTACTTTATTATGAACAATGAAAAATAAACTATTAATAAACAATATCACATTCAACTTATTTCTTTCATTAAACATTTTTGAGCAGCGTTGCAAATTTTCTCATCTAATTTAACTGAAAAAAAAAAAAAAAAAATTAAGACAATAGAATCAGATTTTACAGTTTATTTTACATATTCTGTTATCTTACAAATTTTGTGTTGTCCTTTAATTGGAAAATGATTTGCCATCATGATTGGATCTTTACATATAAATATAAATGGACTTCCATTTTCTCCTTGAGGAAATTTTGAAATGTACTCTTCTTGGGATAAACAATCCACTACATTCACACAGCCTAACAAACATCCAGTCGGATATCGTTTTGGAAATTCAACATCTAAACAGAATTTAGAGATAAGAAAATTAAGTAATACAAAATTATATGATAGTTTATGTAATTATGCATAATATACATTTTACAAATAATAAGAACACAAATTGAAAATCAAAAAAAATTGCAAGATATTTTGTGTTTAGAAATTTAAACACCTAAGACTTGACAATATAATACAAGGATCTTGATAAATTGTTTTTAAGGAAGTTAAAAAAAGTTAAGAGTGCTACATGAGTGTTCAAAAATTTAATATTTGAACAAAAAACAATTGTTTTCATACAAAATTAGTTAATTTGTTATTCATAAGTTATTAATCATAGACTTGAAAGTTGAAAATTCTCACCATGTATTTTTGATAACTTTTAATTGCTGAAGTTATAACTTATTAGTAGCCCATATGATCTCCAACAAAAATGTTATCAACATATAATATATAAAAAAAAATTGTAGGTATAATTCTATAAATATTAAATAGCATATAAATAGCCATCGCATTTTTAAAATTATATCATACATAGACAATTTTAAGGTATTCATATTATATGCAGTCTACTGCCTAGCATCTATTTATATATTTTTAGGTCATTGATCCGACGGCGGCATTCGACGGTTATTAAGCTTTATCTTAACGATTTATAATCTAATATAGTAATAAAGGTGAATCTAATGTAGCAATAATCGTAAACGTATGAGAAAATCAGTTACAGTTTAGTTTGTGGCATTATACGTGATACATTATTCTGCAATTCAGCATTCTGTGTTTAAGCATTAAGTCAGCCAAACATTTTTATGCAATTGTTCAATCAGAAGAAAATACCGTAGCTTTTTTAAAGGAAAGAGGACTCATTGAAATCGGCTCTCCTCCTTGTGTTCACTGTGGCTCGCAAACTAAGTTCTATGAGAGCAAAGAACGAACCTTGATACGATGCACAAAGAAAGGCTGTCAAAGTAACACGTTTTTCAGGTATACTGATAAAAATGGTCAATGTAATAGTGGTCTATTGTCACAAATTTTAGAACTATCTTATTATTGGTATTTTGAAATACCACAAAGTACCATAATAAAATTAAAGGGGCATGGAAATCACACAGTGACTGACTGGATAAGTTTATGCCGTGACATACCAATAGCTGCTTTTGAAAAAAAGAAGTAAAATGGGGGGTATAAATACTATTGTTCTATAGAGGACGATTATTGGGGGCTGATATTGCTACTGAAAATGTTGATGTGGACAAGTTTAGCGACGAAAAGCAACCTGAATTTAATAATAAAAATTATGGTAAAAAACTAACTGGTCCATAGGTGTTTCGTATGTGTCGAAAAGATGAAAATGGTGTTATTGATGCAAGATACTTCATTGTAGAAAAAAGAGACAAACATTACACAAAATAATTCAAAATGAAATTGAAGTTGGTACAGAAATACACTCTGATGAATGGCTTGCATACAAAACGATAGAAAATAAAGGGTACATACATAAAACCGTCAATCATTTCCAATTTTTTGTCGATCCCACCAGTGGTGAGCATACACAACGCATTGAAAGTTTATGGGGAAGTTTAAAACTTTGAATTAATAAATAAAATGTATGGTACAGCTCCATCATTGCTGCCCTCGTATTTGGCGGAACAATGGTGGTGTCTAAAAAACAAGAATGACAACACATTTGATTGTTTTTTAAGATATGTGATATTATATTGTACCTAATTAAAATTTATTAATGCATATTTCTATATATTTTTTTACATTTTTTGTCAGTTAGTTTTTAATACATATACTAATTAAATTTACCTACATATTAAAATGAATTAATGCATATTTTTATAATTTTATATATTTTTTTGTATTATTAAATATTATACTGAAATTCTACATTAATAAATATATTGTAATTCTACATTTATGTATTCATTCATATTTTTAACTATGTGGTAGACCGCATGCATGGTAGACAAGAAATGTGCAGTAGCATATGAAGTGTAGAAACGGGCGGTAGACCGCATACAACATGAATACCAATTTTAATATAAATATTGAGTGAACATTAAAAGTTCATGATTATTCATTTTTAAATTATAAGAAATAAACAGAATTAATTTTGTCAAAAACTGGTGTTCCTAATATATTCCTATTTCCAGCTGTTTGTTGTTTTTCCATAATTATTAAAAAAACTCTTAGGAATTTTACACTTTTGGCCAACTAATAATACCAGAAACTACCTAAGTTGAAGGTTGAAGGAGTTTTATTGGTCCAAAAGGCAAATGTTGCTGATTGATAAAATTTAAATAAAAAACAAAATTGCTAAAATTATAATTGATATTTTGCCATTGTCAAAAATGTATGTGCACTTACCTCCTTTTAAATGTTTATAAAACGTCTCAACTTGTTCTATGTCCTCTTGACTGGGTTTTTTACTTGTTGATGCAATCCAAAGTCTTCCACGATGTGGTGTGAACCATGTTCGACCTTCATGACTAAAATCAAAGAAAACAAAAAATGTTTACTTGGTAGCTAACTGGTAGTGTAAACTGTAAAGAAACTCGAAAATGACATTTAAGTTTACTCATTAATTACAATATATATGACATATGTGTACAAATATTTAAATAAATTATAAATAAAAACAGATTTAAATTTTTTAATATCTACCCTGAAGCCTGAGGTATTAAGCTTTGTTATTTGGGAAGGTTATATTATAATATTATAGCAAATTAATGAAAATTATGAAAGTAAAATTCTATAGATATTTAAAAATTAAAATGTTATGTTCGATTAAATAATAAATTATACACATAATACACACATTGCTTAGTGATGTTTTGCCATTTAAGTTGTAATTTATAATTCTTTTAAAATGATTTAAGAGTTATATATTCTCATCACAAGAATATATTTAAACTACCTTTTAATGTTTAGTAACAAGAGAGATGCATATGGCTGATGCATGCTCAAACAAAGACCTGGATCGGCCATCAACATTAGCTCAGCATCTTGAACCCTACTGAATCCTGGATTATTTTGTATGAGTGGCTTGTCAAGATCAACAGTGTGTCTTTTAATTTTTTTTATAGCATCGTCATCGAACTGAAATAAAATAAAATGTATTTAAAAAAATACATCAAATGTAAATTTAAAACATATAAACAAGTAAGTGTTATTACCTTTATATCCATTTTTATCAAAGGATTGTTTAGATGTTCATTGATAACAATTGGAAGTTTATCTTCACCATCAGACATTACATCTATATCATCTTCAACATCGGATTCATTGTCTTCATAGACTTGTCTTCCTGTTAGTGTGCACAAAATAACTATTATTTTTATTCTTATCTTATTAAGAACCCATGAATAAATAATTATATTAATTATAATATACCGGCAAAATCAATAGTGATTTTTTTTGTTTTTTTCGATCCATGTTTTTTTTCTTGGCGTTCTTCTTCTTTCTTTTGTAACTGTTCCCTTTGCTTAGATGATAACCAACCACTATTAACTGAATAATAATCCATCTGATCATCTATTACATTGGTACGCTTAGCACTGTATTATAAATATAAATATTTCTTTTTACTAAAATCTAATTTTAGTAATATTTTTTCAAACTGTAATTGAAAAGACTTTGATGTTCCTAACCTGGTACGATCAAACTCTAGTAGCTTATTACGATGTTCAAGAGCTTTATTGTCTGCGGCGGCCGTAACAGTTTGTTCAATTAATTGGTTATACAATTGTTTGGATTTATTATTATTGCAGTTCAACAAAAGTTTCTCATCATTAGAACATACCTATCACATATTTAGAAATGATTTTATTTCAAAATAAATGTTGTCATTAAATTTTCCCATACCAAATTACCACATATAACACATGGACCAGATCCTTCTTGTTTACATACAACTCGACCGCAATCCAAACAGTTATTTACTAAACCATGTCTAGATGCTTGACAATTACACTTGTGACGACCTTAACAACAAATACAAAATTTAATAAATATTAAAGTTTACTAAGATACATTCATTTTACCTTTTAAAAACACTTCTTGTCGATTAAGACCTTCATCTGTATAAATGTTGACATATTTTTTGTTTTTTGGTTTAGATTCTTTTTTCTGTAAATATAACCAATTTAAGATATGAAAATGTACTTTTCAAATTATTAAAAGCACAGTTAAATAGCTCAGTTTTAACAATAATCATATTAACAAACATATCTTAAATAATATTATGAAAGAAAAAAAATCAAAAATGTACAAAACACATGGTTCTATATTGGTTTGCATAGCTAACGTGGCCAGTGTTAGAAGTAGCAAAAAAAAATTAGTCTTGAAATAATTTCTTAGAAAACAAAGATAATGGAACTCATTAAGAGTGGTAAGGAACCCAATAAAATGGAGGACTTAAACTATGAAAAAGTTAGTGACTTTAGATGTTTGGGAGAAACAATAAGCACAAAGAATAACTGGTCAAAGGAAATAAGTATCTGAATAAATGAGGCCCAAAAAGTGAGCTACTGTCTGACAAAATTATTAACATCCAAAATGTTATTTAGAAAAACGAAAGCAAGATTGTTGTATATGGCTATTATAAGA